GTCAATAAACAAAATATCAGATTTTAGGGTACCGAAAATCCGAAGGCCATCTATCAGCGTCAATTGCACCCACTCAGAGTCATGGTTTGGTGTGGTGTAACTTCAGAAAAAATAATCGGCCCATACTTCTTCAAGGACGAGAAAGGCAATGCAGTAACGGTGACTGGGGCCCGATACCGCAAAATGTTAAAGAAATTTGTCTGTCCAGCTGTTCAGGACACACCGGAGGTTTGGTGGTAGCAAGATGGAGCGACTGCCCAAACCGCGAGACATGTTTGGAGAACGATTAATTTCAGATTTCAACAGCGAATTTGCCCGATCTAACCGTTCCAGATTTTTTTCTTTGGAGCTACCTAAAGAATCGTGTTTACAGTACTAAACCCCGCAATATCCAGGAGCTGAAGGAAAACATTCGAACAGAAATTTGAGCACTGGAACCGGACACGCTGATCCGTGTCATGGGAAATGCTCTGGAAAGGGCGCGCCCTTGCGAAACAGCAAATGGAGGTCATTTGCATGACACCATCTTCCATAATTAGACCAAAAGAATTTCCCAATGTTATATTGTCATATACAGAAACATTATTCTATTTAATAAAGAAATAAAAAAGTTATTCAGTTTTTAAATGGCAGCGCGCCTTTTGGGCCACCCTGTATATCTTAGTAGCATAATATTTATGGGAGATTCCATGTGAAAACATCCAGGGCATGCAACCCTAAGTCTCAGATTTTGCTGATTTTTACACCACTCAAAAATTTTAATAAGTTATGAACATTCACAAAATTTTATTATCTAATTCCAAACGGTTCCAAAGATATGACTATTCAAACTTTGCCTTGAACCAACAAAATTCCGCCATTTTAAAAAATGGTTTTGGTCTTTGTTTCTGTTCTGTATACAATGGAAAGCTGAAAATATGTATGCTAACATATTTTGAGGCAAGGAGTCCAATAAAACAACTTAAAATTTTTAAAAATAAACAGAACACCTGTAATATTGACCTTTATCGCAATTTTACTGGGGCGAGTTTAATTACAAAAATGCCGATGTAGCTCGATTTTTTTTTTTTTCTTTTTTTTTCAGATGTCATCCTGAATAGTTTAGTTAGAGTTTTTACAAAGAATTGGAAAGTGGTCTTTTCTTAAAATGGAAAAAAAACACGGTCAAATTTACTTAAATTTGTTACATATAAAACAGGAATTATAAAAAATCAGAGGAAAAAAAAGGTTGAACTCTTATGGGCCTTATGCACAGAAGTTGGTATTTAATAATTTTCTGGAAATTTTTCCACTTACCCTGAGCTTATTATGACCCCCTCCCTTCTCCTCCTCCCCACTTTCCCTCTTTTATTAAATTTTTTATTCTTCTCCCCCCCCCCTTCCTTCCCTCATTAGAAATAAAAATAAAAATTTCCACCCACCTGTTTATTAAAATCCTTTCCCTTTCCTTTTCACTCCCCATATATTACATCTGGACAAAAATATTAAACTTAAATTGTCAATTGATTGAAAAGGTTCAGCAAGATTGTTATGCTTAATTATGAGTGCAAGTGACCAGTATGTTTTGTTATCATTTCTCTTCCTTTGTTTACAAATTCCTCCACAATTCTGAAAATTATAGCGCAAAATTATAAAAATCACCTTCTGAAATAGCAATAACACTTGCCACTATTGCACTATGTTGCCTAATTGGAAGTTCCTTACCTATTGTTGTGAGAACTATTTTTTTAAATTATTTTCAGGTAAAAAAACAGGTAGATAAAAATAAATTAAATTATTTTCAGGTAAACAAACAGAGTTATATCTGCTATGATATTCTACTGATTATTACATTCTGACAATGAATTACCTTTTAGACGCATTTTTATAAACTATTAAATGCCAAATTAAATTAAATAATAAATGCTCATCATATAAAGCATGTTGTGGCACGTATAATGTGGCAATAGGTGATGGTAAACAACTTTATTAAATATTGATTTATTAAAAATTTACCAATAATTGTCTCAATCAATTGTTGGTCACTTGTCAATCAAAAAATAATTATTTATTATTCATTGAAATTAAGTCAAAACTTGTTTAGTATAGTAATAAAATATTTAAAAACATTAAATAAAAATGTTTTTAAATATTTTATTAAATTTTTTAATAATTAAAAAATAATAAAGATTATAATTTTAAATAATTTAAATAATAATTAAGATTATGATTCTTAATTTCCTCATTAAATTTATCTACTAATGATATATATTTGATAATTTTTTTTACTTTTGAAAATTCTCTTACTAAATTATTCAAGACAACTTTTGAAAAAAAAAATTACATCTGCATTTTCATAATTGAATTCATCCCCAGTAAAATAATAATAAATTTTTGAAATTAAAGATCAATTTTATAAAATTACCTAGAAAACAGAAAAAGCAAGTCAGCAACTATTAAAGGAACAATTCGATATGGTCAAAGCTGTTTCAGTTTCATAACTGTCAAGTTACTTTCAGATGCTTAATACATGGGAATTTTTATCTATATTAAATAAATGGGGGGAGATGGGAAAGACGGAAGGGCGGGGAGGAGAGAAAGGTAGTCTTAACAAAAAGGTGAGTGGAGACTTTTTTCCCTATAAGTATATTGTCTAATTTTTAAGACCTAAACCAGTCTCAAAGTTTAAAAAAGAATACCTGAAATTTTTTTTTTTAGATTTGAGGTACAGTTTTTTTGTTCATATTAATATCGTTTAATAAACGAGGGAAGGTGGGGGAGAGAGGGGGAGGAGAAGAATAAAAAGTTTAATAAAAGAGGGAAAGTGGGGAGGAGGAGGAAGGAGGGGGTCATAATAAGCTCAGGGTAAGTGGAAAAATTTCCAGAAAATTATTAAATACCAACTTCTGTGCATAAGGCACATAAGAGTTCAACCTTTTTTTTCCTTTGATTTTTCATAATTCCTGTTTTATATGTAACAAATTTAAGTAAATTTGACCGTGTTTTTTTTCCATTTTAAGAAAAGACCACTTTCCAATTCTTTGTAACAACTCTAACTAAACTATTCAGGATGACATCTAAAAAAAAAAGAAAAAAAAAAAAATCAAGCTACATCGGCATTTTTGTAATTAAACTCGCCCCAGTAAAATTGCGATAAAGGTCAAAATTACAGGTGTTCTGTTTATTTTTAAAAATTTTAAGTTGTTTTATTGGACTCCTTGCCTCAAAATATGTTAGCATACATATTTTCAGCTTTCCATTGTATACAGAACAGAAACAAAGACCAAAACCATTTTTTAAAATGGCGGAATTTTGTTGGTTCAAGGCAAAGTTTGAATAGTCATATCTTTGGAACCGTTTGGAATTAGATGATAAAATTTTGGGAATGTTCATAATTTATTAAAATCTTTGAGTGGTGTAAAAATCAGCAAAATCTGAGACTTAGGGTTGCATTTTCAAAAAAAATTGGATGTTTTCACATGGAATCTCCCTTATGCTAGAAGGATAAATAATATCTAAAATGTAGAAGATGCAAAATTGCATAGATAATAGTATAAAATAACACTAAACATTTTATACTATTAAATCCAAGTATATATTGAAAAGTTACTTACCTTGATATAATTATCTATAAACAATTACCAATGACCTCCTAAAAGGTTGATATTAAATGTAAACTTTTGCTTGTAAATTAAGAAAAACTCGTAAAGTATTATGTTTATTTAAAAAAAAAAAAATTAATAATTTTTAAATTTATTAAAAAAAAATACTTCATTCTTTTTAAAAAATCTTTATCAAGTCTAAAGACTTAGTAACATTTTTTTTTGTCCAATTAGCATAACAATATTGTTTTAATGTTTAGAGAAATATTTTTTAAATGAAATTTAATTCTTTATTTAACTAATAAGTTACCTAAATAACACTATTATGTCTTTAGAATGATTTCTCTCGAGAGCATATCATATATATTATCTTTTTGCCAGTTAAATCAAATTAAAAAAGTTAAATTTAAGTTGTTTAAAGTTTATACGAGTAAACTTCCTAAATCAAACTTGTTACTTATTAAAATTCAAGTTAACATTTCATTAATGAATGAATTTGATTTAAAACGAGTATTCATACATCGACTAACTCAAATAAAGACAGGCGCAATGAAGTGTACACGCAATGGCAAAGGGCTATGGCTTAGCCTGGCAGTCAAAAAGGAATAATTTATTAACTAGTAAAAAATCCTACTGCTCTACTTGAGTTCAAGAACATGTAAATCTTTAGAAATCTGACAATGGCAGAAATCACTATAATTAGATTAACTGATGAATTTATTATCAGTGTGAGTTAGTGTCATAATTTCAGCGGCAAATTTTGTAAAAACCAATACAACTATTGCCATCATTGTGATTAGGATAATTTGATCAAATTAACAATTTAGGTTCTAGTATGATTATTTATCTATACAATTAAATTTTCTCCATTAGATATGACTCCATTTAGTTGTAATGCCTGACCATATACTATACTATTTTTTGATCTCGAGGATGGTTTGCGTGCGATACATTATAAATCTAGAGTAATAAAGTGTCACAGAAGCAATCCACAACATAAATTACGCAACGCATATTTTCATGATATATGTCATTTGAAATAAGAAATAGTTTCTTTTTAAATCAAACCAACAAGCATTCTGATCTAGCTATATAATAATTAAATGTTTTTTTCCTCAACATAAGAATTAATAAAAACAAAAAACATCTTTTAAATAATTAGATTAGATTACTCGTGGCTTGTATTTAGAGATGATCAAACATAAATTTGTAAACTATAACCAAACAAAACGTAATGTAACATTATAAATTTTTTAAACAGAAATTTTATAAAAGTACTGTTGCAATTTTAAAAATTAACAAATTGAATTGAAACTTTTTTTTTTTCTTGACAAATTTGTAATAAAAAAAGTTTACAGTAATCAATTTTACAATAAAAATAAACAATTATAATTATTTGTATTGATAAAAATTATACACCTGATCACATTCTACTGTAAAAGGTAGTTCATCATTATCTCTTGTTTTACTTACAGCTGACTCTGATATCATTTTCACTACAAAAATAAAAAAAGCAACATAAGATGTTAATAAAAAAGATTTAAGTAATTTATTTTACATGCAGGCCATAAATATTTTTGTCGACATTTTTGAATTTTAGATAAAAAAGCTCATGGTTTATAAGCTTTTTTTATTAATATTAAGACTGATTACGTTTTATTATTAGTTTTTCAAGTTTTACACTGTGATATTTTGTATCATATCATAAATACATCGGAAAGATGATCACCAGTAACAGTTGTTTTTCTGATACTTATTAATATAGGCATTATATATTTTTAAGAGAAATTGTTAAAAGGTAAGTTGCATTCAAAACTTTTCAAACACTATTTTAATATTTAGATTGCTTTTTTATAAAAACAATTATTTTATAAATTTTTTATTTTTTGTGTGGCATTTTTTCTTCTTTATATATTTAAAAGGTTCTTTTGTTACTCTTTTTCATTGTGAAACAATTTTTTCTAATTTAAAAAGATAAAAAACCGCACTGAAATAGGTCTAAACAAGATAGCAAGTAATTATAATAACACTTAAATGGATGAGCATTGAGCTCATCCTTTTAAGTTTATTACAAAAGTTTTTGTGTTTGTCTACTATTTTCACAAAACATTGTGTTAAAAAAATATTTTATTTTGAAAAAGTTTTCAATTGAAAACATAAAATTTAAATAGATTTTAAAACACTTTTTAATATCTTTAGTTCTTTGTTGTTATTAACTTTGTTGTTATTAAGTTTATTTAAAAATATGTCAAAACATTTAAACAATTCTTTAACTTCAAAGTTTTTTACCTTGAAGATGCTCATAAAAAAATAACAATGAATAAACATTTTGTTTTGCTTTTTTTTTTACTATTGCGTATTTACATGATAATAAAAAAAAATACAAAGGTCCAAAGGTCTTACCATAAAACATAGAAACGAAGTCAACAATTTTTTTCAGACCTCATTTTATATATATATATATAAATATATATATATATATATATATATATATATATATATATATATACATATATATATATATATATATATATATATATATATATATATATATATATATATATATATATATATATATATATATATATATATATATATATATATATATATATATATATATATATATATATATATTTATATATATATATATATATATATATATATATATATATATATATATATATATATATATATATATATATATATATGATGGTTCACTCTTATTGCAGAGTATGTTAAGAAGTGTTTACCATAGAATTATGTATCATATGTTTGCACACTTTGGGCAACTCTATAAGAGTTTCATGTAAAATGGCTGCCGATTGCACTGGGTAGAGTAAACCATTGATTAAATTTAGGTAGCTTTTGTTAAAGCAGCTGTGAATAAATAAACTTTCAAATTTGATTAAATCATGTAGCAGTAGTTCTACAGTTAAGCAGCCTAAATTAATTTATTCTGTTTGTTTAATATATATATATATATATATATATATATATATATATATATATATATATATATATATATATATATATATATATATATATATATATATATATATATATATATATATATATATATATATATATATATATATATATATATATATATATATATATATATATATATCAGCGGACAAATCAGCGGACACATGTTTTTTGTAACTATGGTTAGCGTTGATAACTTTACGGGGTTGCCAGCCGTAAAAGTTGACCGATGCCTTATCTAAATAATTTCTATAATACATAATTTTTAAAATAACAATACATAATACATAAAATTGTGATAATAAATCTAAAATATATGGCTACACGCGATATGTGCTTAGATTTATTACTATTGTTAATTTAACCTTATTGATAAAATTTACAATACTCATCGTAAATTAATAGAAGTTACGTAGATGTCATTCATATAGCCTATAGAGTGACACCTAAAATAAGAACCTAAAACAAAAAAAATAGAATATAAAAAAAAAAGCAGTCGCGTTGCTGAGGTTAGCGTCACCCGGGGCGGTAAACTTTTGATGCCGCCCCTCTAGACAAACAGGTAAAAGATAAAACTAAAAAAGTCCGGAATATCTAGAAACCTCTTAAAAACTAAAAAAAAAAAAGGTCTTTTAGAAAAAAAAATTCTATTGCCACTGAGAAAAAGAACAATAATAAAAAGAAGTTTACCTAAATACAATTAAGTACATGTAGGTGACTGTTCTAAAGTACTTTAGAACAGCTGCATCTTATTATGTAGGTTCAAGGTTGGCTTTTTCTAGGCAGTTTTGATTTATTTTTTAATTTCAATGGCCATAAAGTAGTTTATTTTTATAAAGAATTTTTATAATAACATTTTTAGAGAGCATCATTTTATGTGCGCTTTGTAGCAGATTATTCCCACTGCTGAATTATTTTATCTCCCTATAAAATACTCAAAATAAGAATACACTTTCAAGTTATAACTGTTAGAAGTGTACGCAGAACGTCCGTACTACCTTGATAAACATAAACATGGAGAAAAGACTCACAAGAATTATAGAAATAAAGTTTACTTGGTTTGTTGTGATATTCAAAAGCCATATTTTCAAAAAGTAATATAAAAAAGCGATTTAAAAAAGAGCCATAGCAATAGCCATAGCATTTATTTATAAGTTTGCATTTGTTTATTTAAAATAAACAAATACAAACTTATAAATAAATGTTTACATGAAAATATTTAATAAACACATTTAAGTAATCCACGGTTATTTTAAAGTGAACGTACGGCTTCTTGTTATTTGTACTGAATTTACTTAATTCAAGGGGTATTGTTAAACTTTAATAACTTTTGAAATAATACAGATAATTTTTTTCTGTAAAAAAATATAGACAATAATTAAATGTTTTATTTTTTAACATTCAATAAAATATCAAACTTTTTTTTCTTAAATAAACGCGCAGAAATAACGAACATAACTGCTTTTAAAAAAATTAATGTTACTCTTTAGTAAAAATCATCAATAAATATATATTCTGTTGTTTAATAGAGTAAAAGCAAGTAGAATAAAATAGAAAATGAAATATAAAATAATGAAATAGTTGTGACAACGTTTATTCTTTAGTGCCCACTTATTTCATGAAGAAACATTTTGCAAATGTTTTTTGATCATATTGTGGAGAATTGACTGAAAGCATAGATAGTATTCAGTACACTGTTTAATATCCTAAGAAATAGCCTCATTACTATTATAAACCCTAAGAATCTATGAATGGTAAAATTTTTCTATGAATGGTTAAATTTTCGGTAGCATAAAATTAAAAAAAAAAAAAAGATGGGCATAAAACTCTCGGAAGTGAAATTTGCTGCAATTGAACCTAAAAGAATTAAATTTGCTATTTCTTGAAATAGCAAATTTAATTCTTTTTTTAAATTTAATTCTTTATTCCATTGAAAATGGAAATGGTGAACTATGGTGTTGAATAAAATACACCATTTATTCGTTTGGAGCTTTTATTACTTAATTTTGTGTAAACTGACCATTGAATCTTAGTAAATTTTTCCTTCAACTTTTAAATCGGTTATTATCAAACCTATTCTAATATAATTATGCCTTGAAAAAACGTGCACGCAAAAAAAAAAAAAGAAGATAACATAATAAAAATTGGCTAACTTTCGCTCAATAAATCTGCCCAATCATTGAGCCGTATATTTACATTTTATAATAAATAACTTTGTAAAAATCATAAACTGGTATTGATTCTTTTATATTTTTTATTAAAAGGACATACTTCATTTTATGCAAACTTAAAAATATTTTTTTATAATGTTATATTATTTTTTCATTTTGTAAGTTCGACCTTAAGGTTCTGCCCTACTTCATTATTTATGTTTAATTTGACTGTTGAAATATGGTTTCAATTTAGTAAATTTTCATGAATTGAAATTTACTTTATTGATCATTAACGAACAGTTTACGTAATAAAATTGAATTCAACGTCATTAAGGTAAGAATAACTTTGTTTTCTGGTAACACCATTAAACAGTTTTTTATGATTTATATCAATTTGTTACTATTTTGTGTAACTATATCAAAATCGGCTAAATAGCTGTAATAATTCTAAAAATATAATTTTGAGAATTGCTTAAACATTTGCTTTCATGAATTTACATTTTTTCATTTTTCCTTTATCATTACATTTTTGTTCAAGCAAACCTTGCCAAAAATTTCCAGGAAGCTAAAACAAAAAAATAATGATTGGTAGAATTTTTTCTATCAAGGATTTTATTCTTTGTAAAGATGATGAAATAAAGATTTTTTCAAATGGTTGTGGAAGCCCGTTTTAAAGTTGTACTTGAAAACTACGGACCACCTAAGGAACACGTTCAAAACTATATAATAAATATATAAATTTTAAATAAAAAAAAAAAAGATTTTTTCTTGTTTTTAAAGCTGGTGAACTCTACTACAAAAAGTAATTTTGTTTTCATCAGAATGATAAAATTTTTTGATTTTTCTCTTGATTGGAGTTTGATGAGATTTTGCACATGGTAAGAACCATACGCTGCGATAGCTTTATCTTTTATTTTTTTTAAATTCCGAAGTCAATGTTTGATTTATTTTTACTTGAATCACAATCAAATATATTTAATATGCCTAAAGTAAAAAAAGTTCACCATGGATTTAATGTAATGGTGATTTTGATCAAAAGAAATATTCATTAGATATTCTCATAAATAAGTGTTCCTTGAAATTTATTAGCTTTTGTTCTTTTGATAATTTTATTTTCTATTTTTAGTAATCGTAATATGACCGCTTTTTTTCCTTCAATTTGAATGGAATAGAACGGAGTTCTGTGTTCAACGATAAAATGTTAGACTTAAACCAAGTATTAAGTTTTTTAAGTTTAATACTTGTAGCTTCAAAAATTTCTGCAATAGAAGTTGATGAATTAAATTAGTACCATCTGATCAAATATCATTATGGCATCTAGTTTCCAGGGGCTTTTGAAAGGTTATTGTTGTATAACAAAAAGAGTTCGGAAGCTAGAATGGAGCTTTGGGAAACTTTTAATTTCAAGCAATTTTGAATGATGTTTTCATCATTAATAAAACATTGATGTTTATCAAAAATTGAAAGATTTTTATCAAGATTTTTTTTATCAAGATTTAAAAATGAACGTCACACCATCGACGTACGTCATACCAAATTAAAGAGAGGTTAAATTAAATTCTTTTAATCGATCTGTTAGTATTGTTGTTTGTTTACACAGTTTTGTGATTACATTGTTTAATTTCTGATATAGATTTTAATAAAGACTGCATAGAGTCACTTTTTACAGAATTTGAATTATGACTTCAGCGAGAAAAGCATAATGATAAATATTGACATTTAAAGTTCTTTTTTCTCTATTCATATTTATCCCTTATATATAGATACATAGAGAGACTTATTACAAAATTTAAGTTATGACAGTTGCAAGGAATTTATCTGTTTATAGATTAGCATTAAAAAATCTCTTTTTTATCTTTTATTATTCATTTTTATTCATTATCACATCTTTGACTTTTATAGTTAGCGAGTTTATATTCATGCTTAGTTAGCAAGTCAATAAAAAACTTAAACCAGTCCAACAAAATCATAAACCAGTTTAATCATGAACAGTAAAGAACCCTAAAAAGTACTCTTTAATTTCTATACTTTTGTTGCTGCTTGTTTTTTATATATTTTTTATTCAATTTATTGTCATTGTTTTTTTCCCATTAAATTTGCGGTAACATTGCTAATCATTTTTTTTATATACTGTAAATGGTAATGGTACTTAGGGTAACATTACCATTGGAAATTTGACAAATAAT